AGCGATTTAGAAATGTTATGGCCACGTCTTTACAAAAAGATCGGTAGGTTCTTTAATATCTGAGAACAATAGCAAACCCCCAAGAGACCTTGACGTCCGTGTGTTATTAAGCGCAGAAGTGCCGTCCGCTCTTAAGACACACTCAAGACTCTCTCTTTGAATCGAGAGGTTGTTTGTTTTGTTGTCGTTACCGAAGGACACAGGGGAAAACTGTCTTCTAGTTTTTATTTGGAGTCACCATTATTCCCGTCTGTAACCATGAAGAAAAGACGCAACGGGGCCCATGTACACCACCACACTTTGAAAACCATTCGAGCTGTTGTTCTGGGAAAAGATGGCGTTGGAAAATCAGGTAAGTTCATAAAAGTATTCTATACGTTATAAAATCGAATTGTAAATAGCTCATTAATTGAAACCAAAAGTTCAGTTCTAATTAGTACTTAACCCTCCACTAATATGACTTCAAATCGAACGAAACACGAAGAAGATTCTAGTCGTGACACCTTGGACCAGGAAATTGTCAATACCGCAAAGTATCCAAACACGTACGCATGCTATTATGGCTAAACATAAAAATCCAGAAAAAAAATCCGCTTTTGTTTCCCTTTATCCCGAAGCTTATGAGGTTTTATAATAGGTTTTGGCATGTCTGCCCTTTATTAAAATGCCTGAGCAACGCCGAATGAATTTTAGCACTATTTACTAGTAAATATTGAGTACTTACTCAGAATTTTAGCTCAGAAGTGCCCTGAATAACATTCATCTCTACCTCTTTTCTTTTCCTTTAAAAGAAGGCAACGCGAGACACACAAGCGTAACGCGGCCTGGTCACAAGATTGTTAAATTTAGGAGGGTTTTCTTTAAAACTTTAAAAGCTGTCGCTTACGTAATCTAGAATGTTTGGTAAATGTTAGCAATTAAATTTTGCTTTTTCTTCACTTCACAAAAGAAAAATAAATTATACAGCAATGTTTGTAATTTTAAAAGTAGCTTGTAATAGCTTTCGATGCAATAGATGTATGTGCATTCAACTTGACAATAGAATAGCAGGAGTCAGGCGATAGCCAGATTGGTCTTCACAATGGAACCAAAATTGGCCTTTGCTTGTCGTGCCAGTCGGAAGAAGTATTTTATGTGAATTTCCAGCGAATAATTTAATGGGAAATAGGCGAGTATAACACTGGGCTGAATCATGTTAAAAAAAATTTTTTGAAAATCTCGAGTAACAGTTGAATCTTTGCCAGGTAAATTAAAACGAACTGAATGATTGTATTCATAAAAATTTGATTGGGTTTTCATCCATAAGTTTCTTTGGTTTCGGGTGTAAATTTTTCCTCCCATCGTCCAAAGTCAATTTAATCTAGCGTCACGTTTTTTATCGACAGTAAAGTAAGCAATGTCTGGTTTCCTCATTTTAACTTCGTTTTAATTGCGTCGTGATGATCCGTTAGAACAAGAACCCGTGTAATCTCATTAACGTTTGTGTAAATTTTCCACCCGCAGCTCTCACAGTCCGGTTCCTGACCAAACGTTTCATTGGCGATTACGACAGTACATTGGGTAAGTTCGCAAAGTGATTAATACCAGGATTCTCCACTTTTCCGATCTTGCCAACATCTGAATAAATTTAAAATGCAATAAATGTTTTCCTTTGAAGATTAGATTACGAGCAATCCATCGCTCTCTCTCAGCGAACACGTTGTCGGATGCGCAAGTTAAAGGAAATCCGCGCGTTCGCCCGGCGCCTACTCACTCTTTACCTTTAATATACCTTGACTCGTCCCACGGCCTCAGATGAGAAATAGGGGGCCTTTCTAAAGCTATTTGGAAGGCTAAAAACATATTGAAAATCCATGGTACTAACTAAGGCAAAGTTTTATAGTAGTCTGTCACCTTCAATTCAAGGCCTGCTGTATATTTCAAAGGAAAAAGGAATATGCTATTCTGAATAGTCGGCCCGAAGTGGTGTTTCTGGATATTAGAGAAGAAAGGAAAAAAGTGCTAGTTAATTTAAAATCTCAACTTTTTATAGGAATTTTTCATTTTAATTAAAAAAAATTAGTAAAAAAAATGAAAATAACGGCGCCGCTGGGGATTAACTGATGATAAAGAACAACGCGCCGCCACCTTATCAGACGTAGTCGTAAATGTATACTCTTTGTTACATTCATTGCTGAACTAACTCGGAAGCAAAAAGCTCTTCAAATCTGAAATGAGTCAGTAAGCCGTAAAAAATCATGACTTTAAAAATAAATCAGGGTTTTGAAGTGAATTCAAAACGATTTTTTTTCTCGCACGTGCTCAACCTTTCCTGTAAAAATGCCTCCGACAGCAAAGTTCCTGCGTGGGGTCCGCTCGGTTTACAAAATAACTGTTTTACTTAATAACTACTGAGATACCAAGAGAGCCCCACTTGGTCAAAAACCCATCGTTCATTTTAGTGGTTAACCCATAGAAAATTTAAGTTTATTTTCATTAAGGTAATAGATTGCACTTTCTATCGGTTTACCGGCGTAAACATTAGGAGAAATCAACATCTCGGCCAAGTGGTTTATTACAGCGGTAAACCGATTGAAAAATGCAGTGTAATGCTCAAATAATTGCGTTGAATAGGGTGCAATCATAGAATAAACTTCTCGTCAAATTTCCCCCAGAGAAATGCAAAATCTGAGTGGTTTCCCTGGTTTCTCCTTAGTTTTGTCGTCTTTTTTACCCTCACATTACTGGTCGAGGACGGGGCAACGGGTAACAGCTGCTCACGTTTTTTGGGCCATGTAATTTTACCTGTTTTGTTCCGTGATTGTATGTAAGTGTTGACAGGCAAGTCTGGGTTGGAGAGTTTTAATCGTCTGAGTGACCCGACATCATGGGCAGCGATGGCAATCAATCGTCAACTGGGCCGGTTTACGACAGATCAACAAGGTTACCCTTATTTTGTTAAAACGTGGCCTTGGAGTACGCAGTATGCGCAAAATTTCTATAAAAATCTTTTGTTGGCAAACAAAATAAAATTAGAGCGAACCTTGTGACCCCTAGGGGTAGCTTAAGTAGCCTCTAAATTTCTGATCACAGTATCTCCTCTGAAGCAAACATTAATGTCACGATAATAAAAAAAATTATAACCGTCTAAAGAAGCGAGCTCCTGATTGTTCACCAAACTCTCCTTGCTTGAGCTACAGGAAATCTACATATTATGCCTTTTTTCTCGTCAGCGCGAAACTACATCGATCATTTAAAGTAAATGTATAACAAACTCTAATATTTGTTTGACGAATAACCTTGTGTTGGTTCAAATGTGAGGGTAATTATGAAATATCTCTTTTCAAATGCAGAGGCAACTTACAGGCATCACTTGTTAGTTGATGGCCAATTTGTGTCCTTGGACATCATGGACACAGCAGGAAAGGTACACTAAGGACTAATCTTTATTCATCTCCTAAGAGGCAGGGTGGGGGGGGGG